ACATTACCCCTCGGCCTCGGAATAATCCAAAATGTGAAAGCCTGGAATGCAGAATTCATGAAAAAGTACGTCCAATAATTGACAACTGCAACTGTGATATCTTTTTATCACCATACTGAATCTTTCCGTCGTGTATGTGCCGCCAGAAGTAGGCCTATGTATGTAATACGAAAGGGCAGGTACGAGTGCCATGAAGTATACATTTTCAAAAGTTAGCTTTTTTACGAAATGAATTCCTTTCCCAAAGTTCAATTTTACAAGGTGTATTTTCCAAAATATTTGCGAAATCTATTCTTAGAAATACCATTTTTGAAGAAAAAAGATTTCCTGAAATAAATCTCGTTAAAAGAAATTGAAAAACATATCTTGCAAAAACTAGACTTCGTCAAAACGGACTTAAAGATGTATATCTCAGAAATATGAACATGTACGAACACACACGTATCTTACAAAAATTAACTTAGACAAAATTGCATGTCAGTTTTTTAAATGTATACTTCATGGCACTCGTTGGCTTTCGCATATCACACATTTTTCACACCCATAAAGAAATCCAGTCCTCGGGTGGAGCCAATTCCTGTCTGTTATAGTAATTAACCATCTAGCCTGACTGTGCCCAAACGAAAGGGGGTGAAAGATTCAATTAAATTCCACGAATGAACTCTCCCCAAATCGTCGGCGTCCTCTTCATAAAAAACTGTGGCTTTAATAACGAAACTACCAGTGCCACCTTGGCATGTGCAACCATACCAATGAAACAGGCTGTGACTTTTCGAACGGTGATCGACTGAAACTTTGAAACTTTTCTTAATCTAAGCGTTCCACAAGCACGTTCCTCTCTCCGTGATCATGAATGCATTTATTGATAGTATTAAGGACGGTTTGAAGTCGTCTGTCCATCGCCCGCATGTGGTCCTCTGTGACGACAGGTGCGATCGGGTCACGTGACATCGAGGACTTGAGCAGGTGACCCAGTCGCGACTTGGGACGAGCTAGCTCCTTCAAACGAAGGTATGTTGAGCGTCGAAGCCTGCGGGATAAGAAGTATGTATATTCATTAAATCAATTCATCGTAAAATTGCATGCAAAATACGTACAAAGTTGATATAGGCCTATATACCACAGTATGCTTACTTGCAGCATTGGTAGACAGGGGCCAGAAAAGTGTCATCATCTACAAGCGGATTACCAAAACCTTTGCCATTGTCTACGTGTATTACACAACTACTTTTCCGGTATTGGCGTAGTTGCGTGTAGTGATGCCTGTCATAATTTCCTGTAGTTAGATGTAGATCAAAGAAACAGACAAAATTCCCTGACAGTTTATTGATTTATTTGGTTTTGTTTGCAGTAGTTCTTCGTGCAAGCGTTTGTTAAATTTATAAAATATGGGTCTTTTTGACCGAGTGATCGACGCCATAGTCGCCTTATTTACCTCAATTTGCTTGCTTCTTTCAGTCTTTACCGTTAGAGGAACAAATGCACAGTAGGATACGCTACACTAGATTTTTTTTTAAAGATGATTTGGTTGACTTTTCCCTGCATTTAGTTAACACCAGTGCAATGAATCGTGTGGGCAAAATACAGAGAAGATCGTGGAAGTAAGATGTCTCAAAAAAGGAACAAAGTTTTTAAAAAAGCGCACACAATTTGGAAATCACTTATAGAAAATTAAAGAAATATCCACAAAGTTCCTTACGGAGAAAGAAGTCAAATATCCCTTGCTCTATGAGGTCTAACAAATATCGCCCTTCCAGCCAGACGGGATCCTGAATCAAAGCAACAGAGAAATATAAAGGCCTATATAACAGAAGACAGTAAAATCTAATGGACTGACATTTTTTATTCTTCAAGCCTTTTAAGTACTTGTAAACAAAATTTCCTCCTTTAAATCCACAGTCCCTCCCAACCTAACTCTCCAAGTAACAATGAGAAATTTGGACTCCTCTTAATGGACTCTATAGTGGGCTTTATGACGTCACGGCAGCAGGTATCATTTAATTGCTCCTAGGACTATTTGGGGACATCATAATTGGATGGAATTTTTAAAGGATGTTCGGTAAATGAGTTATGTCGCATAACCTTTACACCACGGTTCTTTCCTCGCAGAAGCTATATTAATGTACACACCTTCAGTAAATCCAAGCATATATTTTCCTCTTTCCACCTGGGATAAGAGTAGGGAAAGAATATTCATTTTCATAAATGTAAAGATCATTATGAAATAAATCATAATAGGACAAATTCTGATCAAACTGAAGACAGGTATAGAGCTGGACAAAGGCCACAGTTGTGATTCTTGATTTTGTGTTGAAGGTTTTCCCGTTTTGTGTTTATTTCGTTTCACTGCATAGGCCTGGGCAGGGGCGGATCTGGGGGCGTGGGGAAGAAGAAAAAGAGGGGTCCTACTGCCTGAGATTGCACCACAGAGCCACGGACGTATATAAAAAAACCTGGAC